ACACAAATGACAGCAATCAGTGCAATCAATGTGGTCTGGACACAAATGATAGCATCCAGTGCAATCAATGTGGTCTGGACACAAATGACAGCAATCAGTGCAATCAATTTGGTCTGGACACAAATGACAGCAATCAGTGCAATCAATGTTGTCTGGACACAAATGACAGCAATCAGTGCAATCAATGTGGTCTGGACATGACAAAATGACTTGGACAAGGACTGACGGCTGTTCCAAAATGGCAGGAAAGGCAAGCGGTGTTCAGACTAAAATACGCAAGATTTTACCACGAGCATCTTTTGCTCCTTGTTGTACGCTCAATCTGGTGGTTAATGAGTTGAATTCAATTGTTCAAGTGCGTAATGCCATTGGTGCAATCAAAGCCTTCAATAAGTGTTTTAGAATAAACATAAAGCGAATGTCGTTATTACTCATCGTTCCATTGTTCTGTGGAGCTCGATGATCCGCTAAATATAAAAGCATTTTCTTTTCATTGAGAATTAGGAGTTGATATGAAATCAGTTGCACAATTTGGCAAAAAAATGACACGTAATATGCGACAAAATGCTCACCAGCCATTGTGTTCATGGTCTTCGTCTACATTTATCACATGTTTTATGATTATTTTTACATATTCTGCGAGACTGGTACCAGTAAATCAATCATTGCAAGCCACTCAGCTGGATTTGGTAAGTGTACATAAACATACTTGTAAAGTAACGGTCATCTTCCGTGAACATCGTCAGGATGTTGAAACTTAGTTTAAGAAAACTATTTATGAAAAAGTCTTGGCTCTTGCAGCTTTAGCTAACATTGAGATGAAAAGCCCTTGTATCTGTGCACTTGGCTCTTCCAGCTATCTTTAACATTGAGATGAAAAGCCCTAGTATCTGTGGACAAGTATATCACAGCAATCTTAGAAGATCAAATGACAAGAGTGAAGATCCAAACTCAATGAAAGACTTCTTCTTGGATTCTATAAAATCAGCACTGACCAATCGTTTCCTTGAGACAACAGTCCCAGTTTCTCCAATTCAGCCTGATCTCATGACATGTCTTGTTTCCCGTGTAAGAAGAGCGTCGATATCATTACAACTTTGTGCACCATTGACAACTTTGAGCTTGAAGCAATGAACTGGTTTGATTTTTGAAGCATGCTGCAACAATCACAAAATATTAAAGATGACCTGCAGCTTATTAACTTGCTGCCAAGTACAGACATTTTTCCATCTATTCGCCACGCTATTTTTATTGCACTCAATTTATCAACAACAAGATGCGCCGTGGAGTCATTTTAGTCAAAATGGCCCGGACACGCAGCGCCGCCATTCGCATCCGGTTCCATTAGACCAATGTTATTCGGATGTCATTTGTGGTAGTTTATTTTAGTTAAACTGAAGAAGTAAGTTTACAAACATATAGTCCATTCAATTATCTTTCTTTTGATACCTCATTTTGTCTTACAAACCCAACAATAATTTTTTAAATAGTTTTTTAATCCCAACCTTTCACTTCTGGTACCCGGGTACGAATAGGCGTAGCCTTTAAAAAGTAGGCGACTATAAATACACACGCCTACACTCTTTAGCTCTTATTTATATGTTTATATTATGAAAAAAACAATGTTTGTTGACCCCCCCTCCCCGAAAATTCCTGCAGGCGCCCATGAACTTACCCCACACAGTGTAACAACCTACCCCACACTATGTGATAACCTACCCAAAACTACGTAACAACCTACACCATACTAGGTGACAACCTACCCACACTATGGGACAACCTATCCCACACTAAGTGACAACCTACCCACACTATGTGACAACCTACCCCCACACTATGGGACAACCTGCTCCACACTAAGTGACAACCTACCCAAAACTATGTGAAAAAATACTCACCATATGTGACAGCCTATCCCACACTATGTGACAACCTACACCCACTATGTGACAGCCTATCCGACCCTATGTGACAACCTATCCCACACTATGTGACAATCTACCCAACACTATGTGATAACCTACCCAACACTATGGGACAATATATCCCACCCTATGTGACAACCTATCCCACCCTATTTGACAACCTACCCCACACTATGTGACAACCTACCCCACTCTATGTAACAACCAAAGATGAGTTGCATCTTTCAGTTTTTTACGACTTATCCATTGTTCACTGTCAGTGAATTAGTTCCGAGGACAGTTTGACTTCGACCAAATCAAATAACAAAGTTTCTAGTTAACAACAATTGCATCAAAGCTCATGTTTGATTTCTTTAATCGTTTATAAAAGTAAATGTTTGCCATTAAACATATTAAAAAAAACGCAAAGATATTTATATATATTTTGTTTTACCTATAGGCCAGATTTAGTTATACAAATGTTACCAAGAAGTGTAACAATGACAGTTCAACGATCAAAAACAACTTTGGGGAAGCACTTGATATCAGTGCGTGACTCAATGACATAACAATTGGAAGTTAATGGCTCAAACCAAACAAAATGTACAAGTCAATAACGAAATTAGACTTTACAAAACAAAGTCAAACGTAAGACGTACATGATGAACATTTTTTTGTATTCTATTAATTTTCGTTTAATTGGGTTTATCGAATGACATTTTGCCTAGCTTAATACAAAACCAAGTCATAACAGTGTGTTAGAAAAAAACTGTAAACGATTTTTTAAAAGATAGTTCATTTGTCATTTTACAAATTATGTAAATAAATGACATGACAAGCATGTAGATTCGTGGGAGACATCCAAATATAAGAAAGAAATCCTGATTCTAAGTCTAACATATGACACTCTGACAGAGAATTATGTTTATGTAACAATAACAGAGAATTTGGGTTATGACACTATGACAGAGAATTAGGGTTACGATACTTTGACAGGGAATAGGGTTATGACACTATGACAAATAATTAGGGTTATGACTTTATGACATAGATTAGAATTATGACATTATGACAGAGAATTAGGGTTGTGACACTATGACAGAGAATTGGGGTTATGATATTATGACAGAAAATTAGGGTTACGACAATATGACAGACAATTGGGGTTATGATATTATGACAGGCAATTAGGGTTATGACACTATAACAGAGAATTAGGGGTATGATATGATGACAGAGAATAAGGGTAATGACACTATGACAGATAATTAGGGTAATGACACTATGACATAAAATTAGAATTTTGATTACTATGACAGAGAATTAGGGTAATGACACTATGACAGAGATTTAGGGTTTTGATACTATGACCGAGAATTAGGAATATGATATTATGAGAGAGAGTTAGATTATTGACACTATGACAGAGAATTAGAGTTTTGATACTATGACAGAGAATTAGGGTTGTGACACTATGACAAAGAATTAGGGTTGTGACACTATGACAGAAAATATGGGTTATGGCGTTATGACAGAGAATAAAGGTTTTGATTCTCTGACAGAGAATTGGGGTTATAACACTATGAAATTTGATTGTTCGATACTTTTAGACTTTTATGATTTATTTTCACCATCACGAATTTATTTAAGAAATATTTTTTATGACTTTGTCATTTACGGTACAAAGATTATCCTGTTATGTTGGAAGCAAATATGTGTCCACGCTCAAGTGGTCATTCTAAAATTGTAAAAAATGAATCAACTGATAGTTAAACTATAAATCATGACTCACCTGGAAAAACGAGCTGTTTTATGGCGGGCGCCAGGTGATGTAAGTCATGACTTTGGATTGTCAGTGACGCCTGATCAACTTTGCTATATAGACCAATTGACATTGAACAAGTCAGTTCGAGATTCAACTTAACTAATCTCTTTTTAAGACTGAAGAAATGCAGAATACTAGAAAAGTTATAAGGACATTAAAAAAACAAGTTATATTGGTCATTAATCGAACCAGTCATAAACACTTGGAGAGCTTTATCTTAGTGTTCTACCTGCTGGCAAAGTAAATTTGCTCATACATTTAATGGGACACCAAACTAAATAAAAAATATATAGTGGAACATTTTTTTTTTTAATTTTCACAAAATTTACAAAAGTTTTAGAATACCCTAAGAACATATTTATTTTTGTAAATTTATTTGATACTTTGATCTCTTTGTTATAATCACTTAGATTTAAGTTAACAATAACATCAACGTTTTTTTTTAAAAATAAATATTGTAAACACTTAAATACAGATCCTATAGGGGATTAAATTATAATTATTTCTTTGAAATTGTTTGAAACCCAGATGAGATTCATATTAACAGTGACGTTTAAGAACCGCTGGTCTAACCATGTACTAACAATGGAACTAATTTCATCAACCAGATTAATGGATTTGCATAAATGCATTTAACCTTCCTGCCTTTACCACGGCTGCAGAGTTTTTTTCCCATAAAACTATAAATTTTTGACTATTTTCTGTTACTCTGCCCTCAGCTTGACTCGCTTAAGGGGTGACTGCCTTGGGTACAAATTAGTTTTTACTTATGTTCAACTTATATCATGTCCGTCTCAAATATGGCTGCCTCCCATTTAATGGTGTTGGACGGCCATAAAGCTTTCAAATAGATTAATGAGAAACAAACAATGTGTGTAAATACAATAGTATAGTTATAGCTTTAATTATTCTTACACTTTCATCTTAACGTAGAAAATATATCTAAATCTGTATCTATAACTATATATAATCTATACATGGCATGTAAATTAAATTTACACTAACATGAATTTTGTTTTTTTTACTGTCGAAGGCATTTCCCAAAACGTTTGAATGTGTATACTGTGTAACCAGAATTAAGGCTTAAACTATATTGTTTTATGTACACAAATTGTTTGTCTCATTAATCTGCCGCCATATATTTTTTTTTAAAAACGTTTTCCTTTCCATGTGGTGGTGGGATGCCCTCAGTATCGCTGTGTTGTTGAGTAGGGCACCTTCTGATCTGCGGGCAGAGAAGTCGACGACGTGTCGTCCAGACTGATCGCGCGCAGGTAAAGATGCAGCACGCGCTTGTTGCAGACGTATGACATGAAGATAAACACTCCCTGGAGACCATTCAGCACTATGTAGATGACCCTCAACGGGTCGTTGTTAATCGCCTCAGCAACGATGCCTAAAGTCCAGAACGTGCAGGTCATCGTGGACAGTTTGATGTAAATAAACATGTTCTTACGGTCGTTTTTCTTAAAACTGCCGTGTTTCTGTATCTTCCGCACGCTGCTGATCTGAAAGATGGTGACGAAGAAAAACGACCCGTTGCACACCAGAACGAGGCCTATGGGAAGCACGACCGTCACGGCGACGAGGAACCCCGAATCTAAGTAGCAGCTCTGCAGGCCGTAGCCGATCCTCTCCCCGCCGGAAGTGAAGTAAACGGTTGCTATGACGATGGCGATTAACAGGGCAGGGGCCAGTGAGCAGAGCGTGATCTTCATGAGCATGTGAAGTCGGCCGGATCGGGACGTGTTGAGCACGTTCCGGGTTTTCGCGGTGAATATCCGAAACATGTGATAGCAGCACGTGAAGCTCCAGGCAAACATACACAGCCACAGGAAGTGGGTGCACATCCCCAGCGCCGTGCAAAATCTGCTGGGGCTTGTCACGTGGGAGCTGGCGATCAGGGACCCCTGTGCCAACAACAGGCTCGTGCACAAAAATATATTATTCATGCCTGCAACGCTCCGGAGGACGGGAAACGAAAAGTAGGTCATCAGCGTGAACAAGAGGCACAGCATGGAGACGGCAAGGCAAACGTGGGTCAAAATGTAGAGACCTTTGACGAAGTCCTTGTTAACGGTGATCCCAATCTGTGACGTTTTCTCACTTTCTTTTAGTTTCAGATTCAGAATGTCCAGACAGACTTTCAAAGTACCATTGGAATCGATCGTCAACATACTGATCTCGCTCGGGGTATTGAAATTGAAAGTGGTGACGTTCAGGTGGATGGTCAGGTTCGTGGTAGGTGGCAGCACCGTACGATTGGTGAACAACGTGTACTCGCTAACGTTAAACGATACGTAGAAGCAGCTCAGGGTCTGTACCACTTGCAGAAAACTTCGTGTGTCGTTCCGGAACGGTTCCGAGCTGGAATCGTTGAAACTTTGCACAGACAGATTCTGAAATTTCAGCCCACAGTCTCTCCAGGTCGTTGCCGCGATATCGACTGACGGGTCGTAATTCTCGAGGACTGAGACTGGACTCAGGGTCAGCGAAAAGTTCGCCGTGACGTAGATGGGGCGTTGTCTGAAAAACTCTCTGATGAGCTCGTTCTCGAGTTTATCTCGCGTGATGTTTCGGTTACCTGTCAGATACACCTGAGCCCAGAACACAAAGGGCTCCGCCATAAATATACAATCTGATTTGATATTCTTCCCTGATCGCTCCTGTGGGGAGATATTTGTAGGATTCAGTGGATCTCTCATTACTGCAGCGAACGTCAGACGATATTCATATGCAAATGATCTGACCAGGCTTTCGAATCTATCTTTGAATTTGTTAAAGAGCAGCGGGGCAAAGTCGTTGAGGTCACTTCCGTTTCCGGGAATTAAACTCGCGTCAGCGAGGACATAAAACAGAGTGATCATGTACCCCAGGCCTTTGATTTCGGGAAAGATGGTGGTGCAGTTTCCCCCTGTATACAGTTTTCCAAGTGAGCAATTCATGTTTAAGCAGCGACCATCTGGACTCGCCCATTGTAAATTTGAACAGTTGCTGTATTTAAACTGAGGACTCGTTGGCTGGCTTTCGGATGATCCTCCTTGAAAACTTAGCAGAAGTGAGAATGGCAAAATTTCTGTATTGTCCTCGACCTTATTTCCAGGATCCGTGTTGCAGGGTGCACTGTACTCGGGGTAGGTCTCCATGTTGCAGATGGCACAAAAAATATTTGTGTAGAACTTTCCACCGTCTTGCCTTGTGTTGAACACACGGTTCGTGGTCACCGTCAGTTGATCGCACGCCTCCTCGACGTCTCCGTCGTACGTCAACCAGCTTCCGGTGACATTGCACTTGCTTATGACGACCTCGCCAAACCAGTTCCCCTGACATGGGTAATACGTCACACCTGCGGGGGGCACGTGGATGATCTTAGACGATGAGCCAGGCCTGAGGCTGAGCACGATGAACTCTTCGATGCTGCTGGCCCGGTACACCTCTTGGGAGTTGCTGAAGTACACAGACACGTTCCAGTAGATCAACTGAAAAAAAAATGGTGTAGGGGGTGGAAAGTTTTAAAGGTTGACATTTTGGACACACAGAAAGATTGTCTGTATGTTGCTACTATATGACTTTGTGGTATGTGATAGTAACACCTTAAGGTACGCTCACACTGCAGATATCTTACTTGGATTCTCAAAGTTCTCTGACCATGTGCTACTCCCTGCAATAAAAAATGGGGGCCAATAAGTTTAATTTTCCCGGGTATGCTAAGAATTACCATTGTCGGTGGACAATATACAATAACTATTCCATTTTTTAACCAATGCACATACGTTGCTATAAGCTTACACGTTAGTGGCATAGCAATCGGTAGAATGGAGTGGGGGGGGGGGTAGATGCATTTAATATCGACTAACTTGTTTACAAATGTCTATTATTAGCTGTATTCGATAGTGGCCATATTTTGAAGTTAGAATATTAAAATTTGTGAAATAAATTTCACGTTTAATTTTAGTGGAGTGGACAAGGCAAGAAAATATTTTGCAGATCAATGTCTTGTTTTTAGAAATGGAATTAATTCAATATTTATTTTTTATTTTACGTTTTGATTTTACGGATGGATGATTTGGGGAGGGATATACAGACTCTAGGAATACAAGCATGGAAAAGAAAAGTTAAGTTTGAGTGGAAGGATGTGGTGAGGCAGGTCAAAGCCTTACGTAAGCTGTAGAACCACAGGAATGAATCTGATTCTCCTTGCATGATGGCCTACAGGTAAAATCATATTTTTAAAAGCCAAATTTATACATTTAAAGAGCTACATGCGCTAGCAAATAAATTTAAAAGTAATAAATTTAAACAAAAATTCTGCATTAGAAGAAGTGGCGTAGCTAGAGGGTGCGGGCGGTGCGCACCGCACCGTATTACACCATCTCAGCGGGTGACACCATCTCAGCGGGTGACACCATCTCAGCGGGTGACACCATCTCAGCGGGTGACACCATCTCAGCGGGTGACACCATCTCAGCGGGTGACACCATCTCAGCGGGTGACACCATCTCACCGTATGACACAATCTCAACGGGTCACACCATCTCAGCGGGTGACACGATCTCACCGGGTGACACCAAATTTAAAATTGAACATTTACAGAGTTCACACCGCTCGATCTAACCGAATTTTCATAAAAGGTTATCAGATCAACCGTAAATTTTCTACACATGTAACCAATCCAAATGCGTGCTTTATTAAAGGTTCAAGTTTATCATTTACCATGGGACAGTCAAGGCTTTCTGATCTGGTTCTACTATCAATTGAAAGAGATGCGGGGAACGATTTGGATCACGTGATTGTCAGGGTTTGCGGCTTTGAAGACAAGGAAAGGAATATTTTAAATAAAGTAAATTTAATGTAAAAATAACAATAACTTAACGTTGTTACAGTTCTTAAATACATATACCTCCTGACCATCAATTATTATTTTTTCTTGCCTTTGTTATACTGTGAACTTATTTTTACAAGAAGAAATCCATCGTAAAAGTGTGTGTGTGTGGGGGGGTGACACCATGAGTTTACCGCACCGGGTGACACCAACCCTAGCTACGCCACTGATCAGAAGCCATAGTTGTGCATGCTTCGTGTGAACGCCTAGGTGAGATACCTGTGTCTCGTGGAGTTTCACCTTGGATGCCCCACTGAGATACCTGTGTCTCGTGGAGTCTCACCTTGGATGCACCACTGAGATACCTGTGTCTTGTGGAGTCTCAGCTTGGGTGCACCACTGAGATACCTGTGTCTCGTGGAGTCTCACCTTGGATGCACCACTGAGATACCTGTGTCTCGTAGAGACTCACTTTGGATGCACCACTGAGATTTGTGTCTCGTGGAGTCTCTCCTTGGATGCAGCCCTGAGATGTGTGGCTTCAACAAATCCGTAGGGTGAACATACCCTCAGTGTGCACGGTGTTGTAATAGTTTATGTTGAAGGGTAAAGTAATGGTTAACTTTTAATATTAAAGTATCGTAACGGTTTAGTTTGAATGGAAAAATAACAGTTTAAGTTGATTAGTAAAGTAACAGTTTGGTTTGAATTGTATAGTTACATCTTAGTGTGCATAATAAAGTGACAACTATGTGCGCTGGCTGTAGTAACGGCTTAGTATAATGCATTGTATCGTAGGAGGTTATTGTACTAACTAAAACGACAATTTACTGTGTACCTTATTTGTATAGAGAAAGGTTTATGTGTGTGGTGTAGCAACAGCCTAGTATGCATGGCATATCAATAGCTTCATGATTGTTGTGACAATGACATATTTCCATGTTTCATTGGAAACTTACATTTGTGACACTGTTGCACACAGCACAGTAGTAATTGAAATACGTGACGCGGGAAACTAAATCTGTGACTCTGGCCAAGGTCTGCAACGTCTGTTTGCTTTCAACTGTGTCCTCCTCACAACGGTTCTTAACCGTCTTGTCTGTGTACGTCTCCGGGCATGATCTGACATACAGGTACCCGTTTGGGTCAATGATGGCAGAATCGCAGACGACATTGTTCACCGGAAGGACTTCTCCGGATTCTTCGGGAGAGAAATCATCCTGCGTGGTGGCGCTGTAGTCGAGAAGGCTTGCCTCCGTTGATGTTGTATGTGCGGCTTCCTTGACAGTAGCTTCCCCTGAATTTGTCGCGTTTTCGTAAGATGTGCTGTTGTCTAAAGGAACCGTGGTAGTGCTTGTCGTGCTGTCGGGGCTGCGAGTTGATGTCAGTACGGTCAAGTCAGAATTTTGGGCATCCGGGCAGCAGATCCCATAGATTCGACACGCGGGCTTGTCACAGATACAAGGAAAACACAGAATGTCCGAACACGTGGTCTTTGCGTTAGGATCTTTAACAAGACCAGCGCATCGCGAGGAACAGAAGCTGTTCTGGTATTCCAAAGGCGACGTCGTCTCTTTGTTCCAATTAAAAATTTTCCGAGAGTTATTGGCTGGGGTTGTAGGAAGGGGTTTCGTGGTTGTGGAAACTGTTGTTGTTGTTGTCGTCGTCGGGGAGACGGTTGTAATAACAAAGATGGATGTTGCATTGTTACAGTTGTCTAGAGTTGTGGTGTTTGAACAGAAAATTGTTTCAGTAACATTGAAACTAGGCAAATCGGGTAGTGAAGTCAGCTCCGACGACTCGTTAGCGGAAGTAAACATGTCATCGTCATATTCCACCGGAAATGAATGAACGCTACTTTCTGAAACCATCTCATCGGCGGATATTGACCATGTCTGATGTAAACTCACCAGACACCAACAGATTAACCAAAAGTTTCCGATCATGACAAAAAGCATTGATCTCCCAAGGAATGTCTCTATAAACGAACCCTTTACCTGTGGTGTGTAGCGGTGACAAAATGCATTTTAACAGTCGAATCTGTTAGAGCATTAATGTATACTTAAATCAGACCACGTGAAATGGCATTCCTTCTACAAATGTCTATAATCACTGGTCAACAGCAACAAACTATGCCGGTGACAAACGTTCGTCGTTGGTCGGCTTTCTTCCACCCACAAAAATTGTATTTCAATCCAATGATTAATCCACAGACCGTGATGGCGTCCATTG